AAAAAAAAAAAAAAAAAGAAATACAGATATTTTAACAAGGCATGACAAATACAGTGATGTAGAAAACAAGATAAAAATTTTATATGAGTTCTCTTTCCTTAGGATAGATAGAGATAGTATCAATGCATATGCAATTCCCAGAGTCCCTGTATACAGTTGCCAGAGATTAAAAGGAAAACAAGTATCTTGGGATTGGTGGGCATTGAGAAAAATAAAAGAAGAGCTTGGGCTCAGGAGTCAACCCTACAATCTTTGCATTCAAAATCTATTATTTGCCTGCAAAGGGTTTATAGAATAAGATTATTCAAAGAAGTGTACCTTTAATCCTGAGTTATTTTATAATGTATCTATCTTGTTTGCCCTTTTCTCTATGCTGGTGTATTGTGTTTCATTAGGCCACTTTCCAAACTTCCTAGAAACTATTATTTTTGCTTCTCCATTAGGGTCAGAACCTTCCTGATAGAAAATTTCCTCAACTAATTTTCAAGGTGTATAACAGAGCGAGGGCAGGGGGAAAGTGCTCCTGGAGACATTGAACAATTAATTATATTGTAATGGAGCTATAGAGGGAGGAGTAGATGACTGGCCCAGAGAAAACGTGATTTCTCTGGTGCCAGGATTACACTCAGAGGCATTTCTGCCTATCTCCACTTTGCAAGGCACTGTGCCAGTGAGAACAGCAGTTAGTACACCCATAGTGGGGTTTACTAGCTTCCACACCGTGTTTGGTGGGTTCTTAACTTCAGGATGAGGAATTAAATTTTTTACCCAGCAGGAAGTGATTGCCATTTACTGATTTTTTTTTGGTAACAAAGATCTAGCTTGGGATATGAGTATTCCAGAGATGTGCTGTCAGAAGGAAGGAGATGCTAACAAATGTTGCTCACTGGAATCAGGAAAGGTAGTAAAATGCATATGTGTGTATACATAGCCAGGAACATACCTGTGAAAGTCAATTTCATGACTTAGACTTGACAGCAGAGTGCTCTTAAGTATTTGTTTTCATCTTCTTTCCTCCCTGCTGCTGGACACTCCTGTGATCCCTTTGCTTTCTGTTGAAATGAACTGAATTGCTTCTTTCAAATCATAGTTGCACTGATCACCAACAGCCCGGGTAACTGAACAACCTTATCCAACACAAGTAAAGACATAGAAAATGCGATCTCCATGACAGAGGCATTGCTACTGCCCACAACACCGAGCTCCACTGAGAGACCTGTTCTCAGTGAAACAAATGACACTGGGGCATGTGCTAGTTCAAAAATAATAGTTACCATTACTAAGAAAATTTCAAAAAATGAGGCCAGTGAATCTATATAGAAGTCTAATAGACCAGAGGGGAATTAATTGTGATTACATTTGTCTGTCAATATTTCTAAAGGTCTGATATTTTGATTCTGTGTTAGAAATAATCATGTTTTACCCAAAGCAAATCAATGTTGGTAGAGTTATTCAAGCTCAGAGAGTTACTACTTGACCTGGGACTCCTAAAATTATTCTAGCTATAGAGATCATATGGAATGGTAACTGAAAATATTTAATGAGCCAGATGTGGTAGCTCACACCTGTAATCCTAGCACTCTGGGAGGCTGAGGCAGGTGGATTGCTTGAGCTCCAGAATTCGAGACCAGCCTGAGCAAGACTGAGACCCCCCTCTCTAAAAATAGCGGGGTATTGTGGTGGGCACTTGTAGTTCCAGCTACTTAGGAGGCTGAGGGAAGAGGATCACTTGAGCCCAGGAGGTTGAGGTTGCTGTGAGTTATGATGCTAATGCCACGGCACTCTACCAAGGGTGACAAAGTGAGACTCTTTGTCTCAAGAATAAAAAAAGAAAAGAAAATATTTGAGGAAATCATAAAGCTCCTTGTAAATATATAGTATGACAATTTTCATTGGAGAACATTTGTTTTTTAGGGGACAGTATTTATTCAAAAACAAGCCTCCTGATGGGAATGCTCCTCCCAACTCTTTTTATAGAGCACTTTATCCTAAAATTATACAAGACATTGAGGTAAGAATCTATGTATTTGGGGGCATTTGCCAAATGGTCGAGAATTAATTATCATTGTTCTTTAGTCATAGTATTATTAGGGCAAACCTATTAAGGTTTATTGATGTGGGTTAAAAAATCTCTTTGCAAGTGAGTAGGATGAGTGGAATTTATTATTTATGTGATTGAGTTGTATGCAGGATTAAATTTACAATATAAATTTTTAATTATCTTGCAAATGGAAAAATGTTTTATAAATTTAGATAGTAGCTTTGTAAAGCCATAATTTTACCTTCCCTTAAGTTCTATATTTCCTAAAATTATACAAGACTCTATATTTCCTATAGAGTGAGGCATTGAATGGTATTAAAGTTGCTATTGAAGTCAAATAAGAGTTTCGGTCTGGTCCTTTCCTAATTACAGCCTCTCTACCATTCCTTCCTTTTAGACAATAGAATCTAATTGGAGATGTGGAAGACATAGTTTACAAAGAATCCACTGTCGAAGTGAAACAAGCAAAGGAGTTTACTGTTTACAGTATGATGATCAGAAAATAGTAAGCGGCCTTCGAGACAATACAATCAAGGTAAGGTCTCTGCAGTTGTGGGAGGGTAGTTGCCACACTTACCATGCAGTCTAAAATGTAAACTGTAAGCATTCTTTCTATAAAGTAAGTGAAAATTTTAAATTGTTTTCAGTCTGAAAGCCAAAATAATCACTTTAAAGGACAGGGATAGACATCTGTTTCCCCCAGAAGAGTTCTCTTCTTGAAGTGCACTGAATGGGCTTATTACTCTTTTAGCCCTCGCATAATTATAGGCTACCCCTGTCCCTTAATGAAAAGGATAAAGTTTGCATTAGTGCTGAGGCCACGTGTATACATGTAAGTACTTAGCTATACCTACAGAAAAGAATGCATTCCACACTATTCTGGGCTATGACTATTTTGGGGGAATCAAACACATAATAAGGCCAACAAGTCTCTACAGCACTCCATTATCACAATGATCAAAAGCATCTTATTTGCCATCTTAGATCTGGGATAAGAGCACATTGGAATGCAAGCGAATTCTCACAGGACACACGGGTTCTGTCCTATGTCTCCAGTATGACGAAAGAGTGATCATAACTGGATCATCGGATTCCACAGTCAGGTAGAAAATTTCAAACACTCTTTTGAACTCTGAAACATCAGCTTTGCTCTGTTCTTTGTCACAGTATATATGTATGTATATATACATATACACACATGTATATTTGTACATAATTCTGAAGCTAAAAAGGAATAAACCACCAGCGCCCCCCCGCCCCCATCATTTGTGTCAGTCTAGAACTAGAAAACTTGATTTAGGGAAGATTGAAGTAAGTTTTTAGATAGATATAGATAGATTTTTTTTTTTGGAGACAGAGTCTCACTACGTCACCCACAGTAGAATGCTGTGATGTCACAGCTCACAGCAACCTCAAACTCCCAAGTAACTAGGACTATAGGCGCCCACCATAATACCCAGCTATTTTTTTGTTGTAGTTGTCATTCGTGTCTAGCAGGCCCAGGCTAGGTTTGAACACCTGAGTCCCCATTGTATGTGGCCAGCGCCCTAACCACTGAGCTATAGGCACCTATATATATAGTATACCTATATATATATACCTGTATATACTGTGCATTCTTTACAAAAACTGCCTCACAAGGGAATGACATGAGTGCATTGAAGCCTTCTTTTCAGTTGGTTGTAACTATGGCACAGGCCTATAGTATCTCCTTTAAAATGTGTACAGGGTGGCGCCCACAGCTCAGTGGGTAGGGCACTGGCCACATACACAGAGG